TGGTTGCTCTGTTAGCTGCTACTGAGTTCAAGAATGGTTACAGTTGTCATATAGCAAGATCACCTAGGGGGAATTATTTGAAGAAGGGGTAGGGGGCCGGAGTAGATTGAAGACTTTGGGAGAAGGGTCTATAGAGAGAGTGTAGATGTAGATAGTTCTTTTTCAAAAGATTAAGATGAGGTAGCATAATGAAGTCAGTTCCTAGAGAAGAATGTGGGATATAGGGAGGTAGGAATTTTGTTTTTAAGTGGAACTATCTGAAGTTACTTAAATGCTATCAGGAAGTCTTTAGCACAGAGGGAGGGGTTAAAGCTAGATGATAAGGGGGTAGTCTATAATAAGGTGACTAAGGGGGCCAAGAGGGTGGAATTCAAAGCTCAGGGTAAGCTGTTAGCTGTAGATACCTCCTCTAATCTAACAAGAGAGGTTGAGGAGGATGAAGCTTACTGAAACTGATTTATACAATTAGAAGCAGAAAATTTACAAGAGGGAGTTTCTATCTAATAACTTTATGTAAAAGTCTGTTCTAGTTTTAAATTTTGTGAGCATATAATAGTGATCATAATAACAAAATTTTATGGAATGACTTCTATGTGTTGTGTTATGTATAGTAGCTAAGTTCCTGTTTTCTATAGACAAACTGCCTGAGTTTAAATCAGACTTTACCACTTCCTAGCTATGAGACTGTGTGACTTGGAACCGGTGTTTAATTTTCTCTGGGCCTCACTTTCTTCTCTAAAATGGGAGAATCCCTTAGGATTACATGATTATATTTAGGGCTTAGTGTGGGTTCAATATGGTCGGTGTACCCTAAATGTTAGCTAACAATGGTAATAGTGCTAAGTATGTCTGCAACAGCCCTCTCCACATACCCCTCTGATGATGGGGTGATGGTATTTAGCCTGTTTTACAGAAGAAGTAACATGCAGAGATTTAGCTCCCTGTTTGGGGCTACATGGCCAAGAGATGAAAGAGCCAGATTTCAAATCAAAACTGTCCATCTTCAAACTGATACCTTTATAGGTTCTGAAAGTAGCTCATCTAGATTTCTTCATCGGCTATCTCAAAACCTGAGATTTCAGGGTGAGCCTTATGTGAAAGCATGAGGGAATAAAGTTGGCCTTTAAGCTTCTGTGGCCCCCGATGCTGGCTCTCTGCCCACAGACCTGCCCTGTTTCTCCCAGGCCCCCCTTCTCCCCTGTGCACCTACTCATCCTCTGCTCACTCTATTTTGGTAGTTTCTCCCATCTATACTCTCCTTTTGTTCATAGTAGATATTGGTCATTTTTTTTTCTTTCTAAAGTTTGGACCAAAAATTATGAGTTTTTCTTGAAATCGGTGAATTAAGAGTGGAGGTACACATCATCTTGTATAGTTTAAGAGGCTCATATTTCTTTAATTTCATGGAGTACTGTCTGAAGAATGCAGTGACCAGTTCGGTGTCCACACTTACTCTGAAAATGACCTGTAGTAGCATTTATCATAGACTTGTCATGTCATCGTGATGCATGTGCTCCCTTACCCCATGTCTGCCCTGTAAGGTCGCTTGTTCCATTTATTGCCTATTCCATTATCAAATAACTTTCCCTTCTTGCCTTTTAATGCCTGAGGTTCTTTCAGTTTCCTTTTTCAAATTTACAATTTTGCCTTAATCTTATTTAACTTAGAGACTTTAGAGACTTTTCCTGATGTTAATGTTATCAAATGCTTTATATTCTATTACAAGTGGCTTATTTTATGAAACTTTTTTTTTTTTTTTTGCCTTCAAATTTAACTTGTGTCCTAGCCTATGGTATGGTGATTGAGATGGCTGGTTCCCACATGGCCAACTGTACAGTTTGAGTCCCGGACCTGGCAGTTTAAAAAACACACTGGGCACATGTACATGTATCTGCACCCAAGATCTCCAAAGGAGAAATGGAGGAGAAGAAATTGCAGAGTGACCATTTGCCATGGGGCACAGGGTGCTTTCTCCTTTTCCCTCTCTCCATCTCTGTCTCTCTCCAGTAAGGACCACACACCTTCTAGTAAATTTAGAAAAAAAAGAAAGAAAGAAAAAAAAAAGAAAAAAGAAATGAACTCTTAACATCCCAGACTGTATGTGAAAAACATGAAGTTCTATAGAAGGAAGGTGTTATGTACATTTTTTTTATTCAGTATATATCATTACAGCATTCAAAATGAGATTTCCCATCCAGAATACACTGTATATTAGCTCAATCAAGCACATCAACATACGTGTTATCATCAACAAATAATTTTCCATTTCTTGTTTCCTGTATATTTTGCCTATTTTTTTTTTTTTTTGCCATCCTTGATTCCCTATCTCTCACCCTCTACTGTGTCTCACCCTCCTCCCACACTGTCTCTGGTATCCATGGTTGCTTTCTATGCCTTACCCCACCATTTTATTGATTTGCTAATGAACTTAATCTAAATATTTTCAGTAGCAAGCGCAGCTTGACACAAGTCTGAACACAAGTCTGACTTTAGGCATAAACCTCAGTGAGTAGAATGAACATACTATAAAGTAGAACCTTGCTAGAACTATATAGCTTACTGCAGTCATCAAATATGTACATTTTAAAAAAACTAATTGTAATCATAATAGTATGTTATCGTGCTACTTTTTTTTTTTTTTTTGAGACTTGAGATACTGTTGCTTCAAAATAAAACACTTTGAGATATCACTATAGGGTGATAGGGTCTGTGTAGGGTCTCCCTAACCTATTTTGTTATTCCCATATTCTTTCATTGTCCCCAGGGGCAGGCATTTTTGCAGAAGAGATAACAGTTGATTTTCACTTTCGGGAGTTGGCTCCAGTGAATCAGTGCTTTTTTAAAAAATAATTTAACTGCTATTGAGATATAATTTTCATTTCATCACGACAATCTGGCTTTAGAAGCTTTCTACTACCCTAAAAATTCCCTTTACACCAATCCCTGCTCCCTCCTTTCTAGACTCAGGAAGCTACCAGTCTGCTTTCTGTCTCTATAGATTTGCCTTTTCTAGACATTACAGGTATATGGAAATCATATATGTACTGTGCTTTGCATTTGTGCATATGAGAGGCTCACCCATGTCATAACATGTGTTAGTAGCTTGATACTTTTTATTTCTGAATAGCATTTTATTATATGGATATGCTACAATTTGTTTACCCATTTACAGATAATGGATTTTTATGTTATTTCCTTTTGGGGGCATGATATGAATAATGTTGCTATGAACATTCATGAAAAAGTCTTTGTGGGGACATATATTTTTATTTTATGTGAGTAGATTCCTAGCAAATAAAATTGCTGTGATGTATGGTACATTTAACTTTTTAAGAATGTTGAAACTGTTTTCCTAAGTGTGGCTGTACCATTTTAAATTTCACCAGCAATGCATGAGATTACAGTTTCTCTGTATCCTAGCCAGAACTTGGCATTGTCTTGTTTATAGCCATTCCAATGGGTGTGTAATAGCATCATTTTATGGTTTTAGCATGTATTTCCCTACTGAGTAATGATATTGAGCATCTTTCCATTTTTTTCTTGAAAAAGATTTATTCAAATTCTTTGCCCATTTTAATAGTTGTAATTGTTCTTAATATGGTGTAGATATAAATCCCCTATTACATATATGATTTACAATGTTTTCTCTCAATCTATACTTTGGCTATTTTTTCTTAAATCTTTGAAACACAAAAGATTTTTGATTTAATAAAGTACAGTTTATTAATTTGTTTAATAATTCATGGTTTTGGTGACATATCTTAGATCTCTTTGACTAACCCAAGATTTTCTCCTATGTTTGATTGTAAAAGTTTTATAATTTTAGCTCTTTGATTTAGACCTATTAACATTCTGAGTTGGTTTTGTATATTTTGTAGAGTTGGGGACTGAATTATTTTTTGTCGAATGTGTATTAATGTTGAATTATCCTGATGTTATTTGTTGAAAGGTTACTTTTCCATTTAATAATCTTACAGCTCTGTTGAAAAGCATCTGTCTATAAATTAAATGGTTTATTTTAGAACTCACAATCCTATACTATTCATCTGTATCTTTTTCCTTATAATAATACAACATTATCTTAATTACTATATCTTTCTTTAAAGAATTATTCATTTAATTTTATTTATTTATTACAATTATTCAACTTAACCAGAGAGCAACATAGAGAAAGAATAAGAGGGAGAGTGACAAAGCAAGCCACCAGGTCTGAGACTCAAACCATGGTCGGCCATGTGGGAGTCCAGCGCCCCAACCACCACATCACCTGCTGCTCCCTTTGTTACTGTATCTTTATAGCAAGTTTTTAAGATGAGATTGTGAGTTCTTCATCATCTTTTAAAATATTTTTTGACTGTCTCAATTCTTTGATTTTCTATATGATTTAGAATTAGTATCTGCAAAAAAAGCCTACTGGGATGATGATTGAGTTTGCTTTCAATCTATAGCTCAATTTGGGGAGAACTGGCATGTTAACAGGAGTGAATTTTCTAATTCATGAACATTGTATATCTCCACATTTATTTACGCTTACTGATTTCTTTCATCAATGTTTTATAGTTTTTGGAGTATAGCTGTTGTACATTATTTGTCAGATTTATATATAAGCATTTACTTTTTGAATTGTGCTTTTGTAATGATGCTTTTTTAAAAATTGATTTATTTCTCATTTTTCCTCACCATTACAAGTTTGGATCAAATCCTGTCAGTTTAGTTCTCCCATGTTATTTCTGATTTTGGCCAAATACTAGGTAGTGTCTTACAAAAAAGAGTAAATAGCCTCTAATATTTTAAAATTGTAGTTTCCAAGAGGTAGACCAATGAGCCACTTTTATTTTTTGACTCAGTTACTGGTAAGCAGTTGTTTAGTAAGACTGTCATGTTAGTCCATTTACATTATCCATAATTATGTGATAACATAAAATACGTAAGCTTTTCTGAAGGAGTTTGGACCATCAGGAAAGGGTGAGCACATAACCTTCCTGTTCTTTCTTCTGCAGGTGTTGCAGCATCTCTGGAAGTGTCAGAGAGCCCTGGCAGTATCCAGGTGGCCCGGGGTCAGACAGCAGTCCTGCCCTGTACTTTTACCACCAGTGCTGCACTCATTAACCTCAATGTCATTTGGATGGTCATTCCTCTCTCCAATGCTAACCAACCTGAACAGGTACTTCTGTTCCATCCTGTGCTACTTCTAAAATATTAAACTTTTCAGAAGAGGTGGGTAAGGAAGCATTCTGAGTATCTGTATGATTTCTAGGATGAAATGGTGTTTTCAGTATTCTGATGCTGATTTAAGTCTTACCACTCTGTGTTTTCAGTCAACTCTCAAAGGGCCTCTGCTCTGGCAAAAACTTTTTTTTTTTTTAATTAATAAAGGCTAAGAGGATCCATCTGAGAGTTTTACGTAGAAACCTGGAATCACAAAAGTCCTCTAATATTTTAAAATTGTAGTTTCCAAGAGGTAGACCAATGAGCCACTTTTATTTTTTGACTCAGTTACTGGTAAGCAGTTGTTTAGTAAGACTGTCATGTTAGTCCATTTACATTATCCATAATTATGTGATAACATAAAATACGTAAGCTTTTCTGAAGGAGTTTGGACCATCAGGAAAGGGTGAGCACATAACCTTCCTGTTCTTTCTTCTGCAGGTGTTGCAGCATCTCTGGAAGTGTCAGAGAGCCCTGGCAGTATCCAGGTGGCCCGGGGTCAGACAGCAGTCCTGCCCTGTACTTTTACCACCAGTGCTGCACTCATTAACCTCAATGTCATTTGGATGGTCATTCCTCTCTCCAATGCTAACCAACCTGAACAGGTACTTCTGTTCCATCCTGTGCTACTTCTAAAATATTAAACTTTTCAGAAGAGGTGGGTAAGGAAGCATTCTGAGTATCTGTATGATTTCTAGGATGAAATGGTGTTTTCAGTGTTCTGATGCTGATTTAAGTCTTACCACTCTGTGTTTTCAGTCAACTCTCAAAGGGCCTCTGCTCTGGCAAAAACTTTTTTTTTTTTAATTAATAAAGGCTAAGAGGATCCATCTGAGAGTTTTACGTAGAAACCTGGAATTATATCACAAAAGTCAGTGACATGAAAATACCAAGACAGAAAAGGCAAAGGACTCTTGGACAGGAAGCACTGGCACTAGCACAGGTGGTTGAGAGCATGCTTTTTATAAATAGTGATAATAGTAAGGAAGTGACATTAGATAATATCGCTTCATTTCTTTAGTTAATTTCACTTATATTTTAAACACAACCAGGCATACTAGCCAGCCTCAAAGAGTCTCAGATAAATTACAGTATTCACATGAAAGAATGTACATGAAAATGGAAGCCACTGTCCTATAAACTGTATCAATTACAGTAAAAAGACCTATGACTTGTAATACCCACTGCAGGAAATAATGCTTAGAAAATTAACAAATCGTGGTAACAACTGAATCATAATAATGACCTTTATTTACGAAGATAACATTTTTATGAAGCTTTTCTGCTTCAGTAAGCTTATTACTACCTAAAATATTTGATAAAGCTAAGTTTTCTGATATGAAATGTAATGGAAGCTCCTTTTGTTTCTTCAAGCCGTGTTATTTTTATAGTTAGATGGGCTGTCGAGGTAATTTTGTTCAACCTCATTATTTCAAGATTCAGTGATGAAATCAGAGAGATAAAGAAAGAACTTGGCTATAGTTGCCCAAACATTTACAGGTACAGGTCAAATAGAACCAAGTCCTTTATTCCCAGCCCAGACTGCTTTTTGCTATAATCTAAAACCTGTCTCATAAATTGTTAAATTTGATCATAGAAATTGACATAAAAACAGCAATCATGGCCTTGTAACTCTTCTTCCCTTTTATGGCATTTATTTACTTTGCATCTATTACAGGATCTATTGTTTGGTAACATAGTAAGCAGAAGGATGGTGACCCTAGTTTTTTAAACTGGTAAAAATCTTTATGGGATCTTGGTATGGTAGCAATAAAGACATATTCTCCTTCTTTAAAAAATGTTTATCTATTTCTTTCATGGGGAAGGGGCTGACAGGGTCTTCCCACTCTGCAATCCTCCCCCCAACCTTGCAGCCAGCTAGGATCACAGGTACCCATGGTGCACCTGGCATGCTCAGGTCAACCCAGGCTCTGAGTCCCAGGCCTTCCCATGTGCCCCAGGATTATGCAGAGGTGCCCTCTTGCTGGTGCCACTTTGGCTGGTCCAATAAAGACATTTTCTGTATTCTGGTGAGTTAGATAAAGAGAAAAAGTCATAATTTGGAACATGATAATTTACAGTCCCAAAATACCTGTGGACAGGTGCTATAATAAAAAGTTGGTGACAATGATCAGATTAGAAATAAAGTGTTCTGACATTCAGCACAGTAACATTAATACTGTCTACCAGATAGATATTGTTATGTGTCTCGGGGGGGATACAGTGGCCAGTTTATTTATTCTGCTCTCTTTTGCAGGTCATTCTGTATCAGGGAGGACAGATGTTTGATGGTGCCCCCCGGTTCCATGGGAGGGTAGGATTTACAGGCACCATGCCAGCCACCAATGTCTCTATCTTCATTAATAACACTCAACTCTCAGATACAGGCACCTACCAGTGTTTGGTCAACAACCTTCCAGACAGAGGGGGCAGGAACATTGGGGTCACTGGTCTCACAGTGTTAGGTGAGTCACAGAAAAGTTCTGGGCACCTTGCATTTTACTTACAAATCTTCTTCTCAAGCATATTTTCTTATGCCTTTCCTTCCACATTCTCAGTCGGCTTTTTTTTTTTTTTCTTCTTTTTCTCATTTTCTTTTTCTCATTTCTATCTCTTTACTGGTTTTCATGCTTCTTATACAAGCTTTTCTTCTCTTCATTTCAGGTATTTTCTTTTTTCTCTTTTTTTTTCAGATTTTTGCTTGTGGCTCACCAGAGAGAGACAATGAGAGGGCAAGAGAGGAGAAATCACCCTCCACCCTACCCCATTCCCGGCGGGGGGCATGGCCACACTGCAGCTTTTTCTCCTTTATTCTCTTACTGGGATTTTGAGCAAACACATGTGGCGTGAGTTTCAGGCTCTTGTGTCAGGGGCTCAAACTGCCATTAGCCACGTGGGTGTCCAGCACCTTAACCACCCCACCTCCTGCTCGCCCTCATTTCAGGTGTTTTCTAAGACTTTTTTTTTTTTTTTGACTGTTTCACTGTCGCAGTCCTCCTCCTTTAGCTAACCCCTCTTCCTCAAGTAACTAACCACAGGCTCTTAGGGTGAGCTGGGAAGAAATCTGGGCCTCCCATGTGTCCTTAGTCTTCCCAGCTGTCAGGAAGCCCGTGCTACTGCAGCTGGCCCTAAAACATTCCTCAAGTGGCTTTTCTGAAAGTGGAGAAACGTGGCATAAAATGCCATCAAAAGTAGCCTCTTACTTTTCTTAAGCTTCTATAGGACAGAACTACTGTTGAGAACAAATTCAAACAAGACTAATGTGAGTACACAGCAAAAGTTCGAGCATGTGTGAGAATAACCAGGTTACTTCACCCCCGTGTAACACTGAGTTAGGATCACCGCAGCTCTTGGCTTATACCTGTTGTCTCAGCATAGTTTCAATCATGCATTTTTTTACCCTCAAAATTGTTCTTGTTTGGGTAATTAATCATAGCATTTCCTTAATATTGAGACCAAACCAATTTAGGGCCTTTTCCCAGGTTCCATAGACAATGAACAACGAAATTTAGATTAAGATTTAGGTCTTCTTACTTAAGCCAACACTCACATTGTGCTGTGCTTTAGCCTATTTCATTAAATTATGCCCATTCTAAATGTGTTATTTCTCAATTCCCCTGTCTCTTGAATAAAAACCTACCTTCTAAATGGATACCTGTACTAGGAGTAGCTAAATTCAGGTCATCTGAAGAGAAGGAGGTAATTCGTAGAGAAGCTGATGCTCTTAGTTCTCCTCCAGCCTCCTCTTAGAATCTACCCTGTGGTCTTCATCAAACTATTATTCTCTCTTCTATTTTCCTTCCCACTATTGAGTCACTTGAGGATATGAGCGTTGGTGTGTTTTTGTTTGTTTGTTTGTTTTTTCTGGCTTTCATCTTTGGGCAAGGATTTGGTAAACACTTGGTGCTTTTTTTCCCTACCTTCCAACTGAATAAGAAAACTAAGGACCAAGTTGAAAGATTTTATTCTTTATTGTTTATTGTAATATATTAAAAATTGTATAGATTTAAAAAATACTCAGAGTACTGATTATAGAGTACAGTAGAATTAAATATTATTCAGATGCTTAGTCCTATAAGTTAGGTAACTAACTTCCCACATTGTCCAAGGTTATTTATTTTTCCATATTTTTAAAGGAAGGAAAAAAGCCTTTGATTTATTTTATAGTTAAGGACACCTCTAAGGAATTATTTTGGGTTTCCCTTCATAGCATCACTGTGGTAATTTCAAAGGTAGTAAATTGAGGAGATTGGTTCACCTCATCACAGTAGTTAGGATTCTTTGAGATTTGTACTCTTTCTACTTAACACCTGTTCATTGTTCTCTTTCCCCCACTCACTCTCTTCCCCAATTCCTCTGTACACTAAGCAGCCACCTTCCATTCATTCACTCATTTTTGAAAGGGTGACTATGTCTATTTAAAAGTCATGAGGGCCTGGACAGTGTTGCAGTGGTAAAGCTTGATACTCTGAGAGGTTGACCCACATGGAAGGGTTCCAGGTTCACATCCAGGGACCTCCCTGAGAAGGCTGGGAACGTCCATGCCTGTGATCCAGAGCTGGCTGAAGGCTGGGGGTGGATCATGGCACCCGGACCTTGCTAGGGGTGCTGTCTCTCTCCTTCTCCCCCTCTCTCTCATGGAAGAAATGAATGAATTAACTTTTAAAATGTTATTAACTTTATGAACACATCATCACTTGGACTTAAACTCTACTGTCTCCATTCCCCAATGTGAGTATTCAAGCTGTGGGCTTAGTTTATATTTTTATTTGCTTGGTTTTTTTTACTATACATCTCCTCTTTCTTCCTTTATTGGTATTTTTTGTTCCATGTCTTCTATATCTTTATCTGTCTTAGTGATTATAAAATGCTCACTGCATTACTATTGATTTCCCCCTTTACGTAAACCTGACTCTTTCTCCACTATGAAGCAGAATTTGATATAAAGTGATCTGTCTGGTTTTCATTTGTAAACTAACAAAGAGCCTTGTTAAGATAGTCTTTAGACCGAGAATAGCTTTGCACAGTGGCAGTATCATTGCCAGTGAGGTTTATCTGAGGCTCGATTATTGCTAATTGAAAACAGAAAAGAGCTGGCAGGGTGAGTGTTATTATTTTTTGAAATCTTCTCTAAAAGTGGTCTCTTTCAATAGTGTTTTGTTTGGGTTTCGCTATCAGGCACATGTGCAGAGAGAGAAGGGGAAAGTGAGAAATCTCCCCCTAGGGGGATGACCACACCACAGTCCTTTTGCTCTTTTATTCCAGCTGCCTTGACCTCCATATCACCTGCTGGGCCTCAACAGTGTTTGTTTTTGAGAGCAACATATTAATAAGAAGTGTCTTAAGAATTCTTTTAAGGTCACAGAGTGAAACCAAGACCGCAAGATACCTTGAAAGTAAAAATGTGTTTACATGTTTCCTTTCTGCCAACCGAAGTGGCAGGCCCTATGCCTGTGCTCAGCCACAGTGCATTTGTACATGACTCTTGTTTGGCTTCAACCATGAGGTTGTCTCCTGGTATGAGTTACAGGAAATGGCATCGGAGGTTGCAGGACTGAATGCTGGTGTCTATGTCATCGCTGGGCTCACAGTGACTGTGGGCTTCATCGCTTGCTCTTTGTGTTATAGTTCCCCCTTCCGCCCCACACTGCCAAATCCAAGGATCCCAGGACCTCGGCAGCGATGTCATCCTGCTCTGCAGCTCAGAGGAAGGCATCCCTCGGCCAACTTACCTTTGGGAGAAGTTGGACAATACCCTCAAACTACCTCCAACAGCCACTCAGGGTATGTACTGCGCTACTTTAATTTGTTATTTCCATGGACAGTCCTGAGTCCAAGATTCCCAAAGGAATGAATAGATTGAGGAAAATGACACTCTGTATTTGTAGCTGCCAGAAAAGCTTTCTAGATTGTTGTACATTTTGAACTTTGAAATGAATAAAACCTATTTTCTGCATGTTGCTGTTGGAAATGTGTCTCATCCTGTGGTAGCTATACATGGGAACTCTGTTCCATTCTATCCCATTGTATCTTTGGGTTTAAAGTAGCGAAGCGCTAGCTTCTTTGAACTCTGAAGCAATCCTTGTAGTCTGTTTCTGAGAACCCACTTTCTACTGTATGAGGCATAGCTGCCTATTTAGTATGAGAAATGTCAGCCTCATCATGAGAGGGTTAATCCCATTTCAACCTGAAGTCCAATTATGGGAGGAAGATAAGAAAGAGAACAGGAAAAGGACTCAGATCCTGGAAGTCTAAAATTGATCACAGCAGACAGCTGAAGCTAGCATAGCCATGAATGTTAGGGATGGTTTCCTACATGTAAATTTAACTATTCCAAATTGATTTGAAAGGGATCACCTTTGGAAAATTGAGGCCATTTCATGAGGTAAAAATGATAGAATTTATATAAAATCTTATGTTTTAAGACAATAAATCTTAGCCAAGTGTTACATTGTCTCTAACACTGGAATTGTTTCTTGTAGCATTCTTGGGGCAGATTTATAAATTTTAACTTAAATGTAAATAGTTGGTAGTTAATAGGCCTCCCATAACCATAATTATCCCTGATTATGTTGAACTTTATATATGCGTACACATATATACATATAAAACTATATAGTTATATATAGTTTTATTTTTTTTAAGTTTTCTATGGGGTGTTTACACTCACCAGAGATGGAAAGAGAGATAGAGATAGAGACAAAGTGAGAAAACATGCCTCGGAGAGGAAGGCCACACCATAGTCTCTTCCCTTCCATTTTCCTCTTGGGATTTTGAGTATACACATATGCGTTTCTGGCATGATTTTCAAGCCACTGGACCTGGGGCTCGAACTCTGTAGTCAATGTGGGTCGATTCACCTTAACCTTCACTCTACCTGCTGGCCCCAAGATGGAGTGATATTGGTGGTCCATGCCTGTAATAGAGAAGAAAAGTGCTAAGTTGTATGATGAAGATAGACATTATTAAAGAACTAGGGTCACAAGCCTCTAGTAAGTTTCCATAAAGAATACCAGTGAAAATAGTGAAGGACTTTTCTATCATCTTTTATTTAATCTAGCTCCAAATTCATTATTCAAAAATTTTTTTCAACATAGTAACTTTTGGGTTACTTAATAATGACTACTGCATCGCTGTTGTTCCCCTGATTGTACACTGCTCAATCTTTTAGCCACATTATGAGCCAATAGCTTTTTTTGGTGGACCGATTTGTTAATCTCACCATTGTAAGTGGCATGCCTAAAACAGCTCATTTTGAAATACTGAAAACTGTATTAAAATTACAGATTTTCCATTAATTATTTCTGTAGCAGTTGACTTCTGTGTGTTTATGTTATTTTTATTATTTTACTTTTTTTTTTAAAATAAGGGGATTAATACTATCATCTTTCAGGCCTTCTGTAACAGCATTAAGATGCTGTGATTTATATTTCTAACATTTCTGTGATATAGTGAATGGAGTTTGGAATTAATAATTGGCAGTGATTGTATGTAAACTGAGCAATACCTACAGAAGAGCCTTCCATAGCTCTTCGGTTCTGGATAAGTGTAAATCATTCTGTTTTTTTGGCATACTCTTTGCGACTTAAATATTCTTTGACACTTTATGTATAAAAGTGAATTTTGAATTCCACAGATTAAAACTCTTTTAAATTTAAACTTTGGATAGGTTAACAGAATTATTTTGGATAATTTTTATCTATCAAAATAGTGTACATTAAATGAGTCAGACTTTTTTCTTTAAATTTATCTCTTAATATTTATAGTAAAATGCTGATTTCCATGTTTAGAAGAAATGATGGACTTAGAAAATCATTGATACCAAAATAGTGAGCAAAAGTTAAATGAGTAACAAGCTAGTTACATAGTTCCAAATCATCTCCTCATAAATTACTTGTTAATTACAGAGAACAACTAGTAACTTCATGAAACAGAAATCTGGGCTGCTCACAGTCAGTTCCTCCTAGCTTATGGTATTGTATTCTCAGTATATGCTACAGTTATTCTCTAAAACTACAGGAGAGAAGGCAGGTAGGGCAGGGAACTGGGTTAGTTTAGAGCTACCCAAAGAACTGTCCTACAAGAGGACAGCAAGGAGACGCTCTGTAAACCAGGAAATGAGCCCTCACCAGATACCAAACCTGCTGGCTCCTTGATACGGGACTTCCCAGTCTCCAGAACTATGAGAATAAAAATTTCTCTTGTTTGTAAGCTACCCAGTCTATGATATTTTCTCATAGCAGCACAAAAAAACCTAAGACAATATGAAATCTAAAAATGCTGCTCATAGAAGCATAGAGTAGACTGGTAGTTGCCAAGGACTTATGCAGTAGAGGAAATGGGGAGACAGTGTTCACAAGGTACAGATGTTTCAGTTACATACATGAGTAAATTTAGAGATTTATAGTATGGTGACTAGTTAATAACCATATTGAATTCTCAGATTTGCTAAGAGTAGATCTTTTTCTTTTTTTTTTAATAATTGCCGGAGGGCACATACACTTGCCAGAGAGAGACACAAAGAAAGAAAGCACCTCGCCTCCCCCCTAACCCCAACACACACACACACACACACACACACACACACACACACATAAAACAGGGCATGGTCATGCCACAGTCCCTTCTCAAAATTTCCATCGTGTCAGGCACATGCACTTGGCACATTCCTCTATTTGTGTGACTTGAATTGAAACAATTGTCAGCCATGCGGAATCTGGCTTCCTTAACCACTACACTATGGAGCCAGCCCACGAGTGGATCTTAAATGTTTCTACCAACCACACCAAAAAGAGTAGCTATGTGAAATAATAGATGTATTAGTTTAAATGTGGTAATGATTAGTAATGATTTCACATGTACATGTATCAAAGCATCATGTCATATACTGTAAATATACTTTTTTTTTCAATTATGCCTCAGTGAAGCAAGACAAAAATAGAAAAATAAATGTGTAGGACCAGCAGATGGTGTAATGGTTACATCACTGGAATCCCACATGGCTGACCAGACCTCAGTTCAAGTCCTGGACCTGCTGGCTTGAAACTCACACTTGATTCATGTATGTGCATGCCCAAAATTTCAATAAGAGAATGGAGGAAAAGGGATTGTGGCATGGCCATCCCCCGCATCCTGGGGGATGTGATTTCTCACTTTCTGTGTGTCTTTCTGTTGAGAGCATGTGCCCTATGGCAAAAAACTTTCTTAAAAGAAAAAAGAAGTATAATGCATAGAACAACACCTATAACAAAGACTTAATCTCTTGAAAAGTCAAAATAACATTTAACCTTTTCTAATTTTAAAATCTTTGCATTTCTGGAATAAAAGCTATTTGTATTTTTAAAAATAGTTTCATTCAATTTGCTAATATTTTAATGGAATTTTTGCATGGGTGATCACCAGTGAGAAAAGTTATGATTTTTTTCTGTCTTCTATTGTCCTGGTTCAATTTCAGCATCCTATGATAATGCCAAATAATTCTATAAAATTAGTTGGGCATATTTATTCTATTTTTGGATACATAAGAATAAATTAGAGATTAATAATTTTGTTTCTGGCTTCTGTGGGGTATAATCCCCCTTTTATTAGAGAAATATTTTTGCTGTAGGGTGCGTACACTTGCTGGAAAGATAGAGACAGACAGAGAGGCAGAAAGCAAGAAACACCCCACCACCACCACCACCACCCCACCCTGGTGTATAGCCAAGCTGAAATCCCTTCTCCTCCATTCTCCTCTTGGGATTTTGGGCATGCACACACATGTGCCGGGCATAAGTTTAAGCCACTGAGTCTGGTACTCAAACTGCAGTTGACTATGTGGGAATCCCACGATGTAACCACTATACCATCTGCTGGTCCTCTCCCCCCTTTTTCTTCCTTCCTCTCTGTAATTTCCACATAATTTTCTTTCTTTCTTCCTTCCTTCCTTCCTTCCTTCCTTCCTTTCTTTTTTGGAGAGGTTTTTGCTATAGGGCGCATGCGCTCGCCAGACAGAGAGAGACATAGAGACAGAAAGCGAGAAATCACCCCCTCCCCCAGGGGAGATGGTCACGCCGCAATCCCTTCTCCTCCATTCTCCTCTCTGGATTTTGGGCACGCACGCACACGAGCCCGGTGTGAGTTTTAAGTCACTAGGTCCGGGACTTGAACCGCGGTCGGCTACATGGGAGTCCAGCGACATAGCCATTACGCTAACTGCTGGTTCCCGCCCCCCTTTTTCTTTCTAATAAATGCTTAGCAGTATATTTATCATTGTAGTTGATTGAACTTTTTTTGTATGTTGTAGACAGTTTAGGCTACCACATTGCCTCAACTGAAGTCAGACCTAACAGTTTGTGATTTTTTTTTTATTGATGAAATTTATCCTAATTATAAAAAACTAAAGCATTATAGAAAATAAAGGAGGAAAAGGAAATGCATATTGATCAGCATGTAGGTTAAAAAAACGTGTTCTCCTGTGGGTTATGTCCTCGTCATAGAAAACGGTGCTGTGACATGTTTACTAGGCATACCTATCACAGATGCCTATGACTAACGTGCCTTACTGTTTATGTGTCAATGTACATTCCTAAAAAAATGTTTTATATGCCAATGTTGTTTTGTAACCTGATTCTTTTAATGTAATACTATATTGGGGACCATTTCTTATAAAGATTTATCCTACATTATTATGAAAATATATTGTAATCTCTCTCTCTCTTTTTTTATTTTTAAGAGGGTTTTTTGCCTTAGAGCACATGCACTCACTAGGGAGAGAGAGAGACACGGTGAGAAGAAAAGTGAGA